TATAATATTGTTCAGGTCTGGAAGTTTAGGGTATGGATTGGATAATCCCTATCACTATGGGCTGGAGGTTGAAAGCTGGAAATCTGATAAAATGAGTAACCCTAGATATAAGGTATAATTGAGAAACACCAGATATAAGGTATAATTGAGAAACACCAGATACAAGGTATAATTGAGAAACACCAGATATGAGGTATAAATGAGTAACCTCAGGTATAAGGTATAAATGAGAAAACCCAGATACAAGGTATAAATGAGAAACCCCCAGATATAAGGTATAAATGAGTGACCCCAGATATAAGGTATACATGAGAAACCCCAGATATAAGGTATACATGAGAAACCCCAGATATAAGGTATAAATGAGTAACCCCCAGATATGAGGTATTAATGAGTAACCCTGCGGCCTGCAGATATAAGGTTTAAATGAGAAATCTCCGATATAAGGTATAAATGGGTAACCTCAGATCTAGGGTATAAATGATTAATATGAAACAAATAAAGTCAGATGCTCAAAACAATCATAAGCCACATCTAGCAAAGCCAGAAATTGTTAACTTTGTCTTTAAATGTATTTTGTTTAAATACAAAGGAATTATGTCTTTGCTACAAACTCTAATTTTCTAATCCCTATATCTTTGCAACCCAATGTTATGGGCCTTAGTTATTTCAAACTTTGAACTCTGTTGGATAAAATAATCAAATTGTGAAAGTTAAAAACCAAATGTGCTTTTTCTTTTAGTTTTTAATTCTTACGAAAATTTAAAAATTCAAAACGAAACATAATTTTTTTTTATTTTAGCGAGGTAGTTCTAGTAGCAGTGGTGTAGGTAGTACAGGTGCAGGTGCTCCTGGCCCTTACCAGAGCGGGATGTATGACAGCTGGAAAACTGAATGGAACCCAGCCTTCAAGTAAGAATCTCTCCCGGCATTTGTACATTTTCCCGCCATATTAGATTTTGAATTCATTACAAAATAAAGTCTTTATTTTTACTATATGTAGTAAATTTGTGCCTTAAATTACTTCAAACAAATTAAGAATTAATCTTTTAACGCGAAATTGAAATGCAGAAGCTTAGCTTTACAATTGTATGACATGTGGCTGCAGCTCTTGGCCCAGAAATTTCTTTAACTTAATCCCAGACCTGGAGATAAGTAGGTGGGCGGGAAAATACATTATTATTTAAGTTATGACCTTTTTCGTTTTTTACTACAGGGTGTCCCACGACACAGTTTCAATGTCTTCTTCCATTTACAACATCATATGTTAAAAACGTTTTGCAGTTTATTTATTTTAAAACAATCTTTAACTTTTACTTTGAAATCAATTTTTCTATGATATGACTGCAATTTGCGATATTTTTTATTATTCGATCTTTGGTATCAAAAAACTTAAAAGATTGAAGAAGACATATCTAAAACTACTGAGACACCCTTTACGTAAAACTCAGTATCCTACCCTGTGTACACAATAAACTCAGTATCCTACCCTGTGTACACAATAAACTCAGTATCCTACCCTGTGCAGTGTACACAAACTAAACTCAGTATCCTACCCTGTGTACACAATAAACTCAGTATATCCTACCCTGTGTACACAATAAACTAACAGAAAATCTTCTTAATAACTTAATATAATATTTTCAGGGATTATAATACATCGCATGAACCGGCGCCAAAATCATCATATATGACTAAGGGAGGGAGACGGTGAGTAAAAAAAATATTAAAAAAAACATTATTATTAAAAAATAATCTTACAATAATTTTTTATGAATTTCAGACCGTCTTATGACGACGACTTTTAAATTACCTTGATCTGGTGCTGTGACGTCATAAATCAGAGTTTATCCTAGAACTAATTATTCAAAATGGATTCCCGGAAGTTCTATACTCGTGAAACCTATGTACATATATACATATAATGAACTGTGAATGGAAAACTTGTTAAAATTTCGTTCGACGTTTCAACCTTTCTTTGATTGAAATATGTTTTAATCTAATGTTTAATTTACTCAGTATAAATATACAAGGGTTCCAACTAAGGGTTTGGGACGACTTTTCATTACAAATTAAAAACCCTGTTTTTTGTATTCATTCAAATCTTATACAGAACAATGTTAAGGAGTTTTTCTAATATTATGCAGTGAACAACGATAGTATGAAAGAACACGGTGAAGTCGTCTCTGAAGTTTCATCCTTTGTGGGTAACCCTGTATTCATAATACTAAAGAATAACTATGTCTGAGTTTAATCAGGACTTCAGTATACCATACAGTGACAATCAATAAACATCAAACTCGATATAAACATTAGATATGTTGATGACCTTATGTTATATATGTTTGTTGAATAACCCTGTCAAAATATAATATGAGTGTTAGTAATATATAATATAAACGCATGTTATAAAGGCAAACAAATGAAAAGGGATTAAAACATGTAATTACAAAATTAATCCTTTGTAATGAACAATTGACTGCACATGGGAGGTCCAAATTTTAAACTTTAAGGTTAAGAAGTTTCTTGTATCTTGCCATTTCTACAGGGTGTGTATTTATTTTCCTAGTTGTAAGTAGGTTAACCGCAACACACCCTGTATTCAACTAAGCTTGCCACTGCCAAGGCTAGTCATTATTTACCGATTGATTGGGTTTTAACATTTTTTCAGAATTGTAATTCAAAAACGTTTTTGCTTCTTGGTGTAAGAAGTTGCAGTGGTGTCCATAAAACTGTGGACTAGGAAGACAATATCTTAGCAATCTTATGTCGATATGAAGCGAATATTAGCAACCAGAAAATTTACTTGTGAAGTAAAATGTACCTGTGTACACTGCACAATAAGTTTATAATCATTACTTCTGCCTAACACTAACAGTCGGAATTTTCTATTTCCCAGTTTTATGAGTCTTACTGTACAATCGTCTTAAAACTTGAAGAATAATTAAAAAAAACATAAAGAAAAAACACCCTGATTTATCTTAGAGCAGTTTCTGAATTCGTAAAAAAACGTTAATAAAAATTCAAAAATTCTTTTATATTGTTCGCTTGTCTTTTTTTTACCTTCTATTATTTCATCGATGTGTTATTAAATTCAACTGTTGTAAAAACCGAACCCCTGAAATTAATATATTTTCAAATTTGTTTCCAAGTGAACATAAATATATGAAACTATTATTATGAAATGTATGAATATGTTAACTATTGTTGATGTAAATAAAACCTCTGTGATAGAATAAATAATCAACCTGTATTATCCTTTTTTTCATGAAAAAGTTTGGTACGTTATTAATTCATAAAAGTTAAAAAACAAGACCTTTATCAAGGTTTACCCAAACCAGAGATAAGAGAATACAGAGATCTATTAAAAGCTAGAAAAAGCGATATTTCTAACAACAGGTTCCGTTGTGTACTACTGGAGTACACAACCAATAAACAGACGTCTGAATTAAGGGATATTTAAGGATCCATTTGATACGAAATACAAAGTCTTGAAAATCAGACTAAATTCATAAAATTTATGTTTTAGCTAAAAGTTAAAGTAGTTTTTAAAAATTGTAAAACTGAACCCCTGAATGGGTATTATATGCAAAAAGTGGCCATTAGATGGCAGTCATTAACCTTTCGTCGTGCCAGTACAACTATAATAGGCCTGCTAAGCTCTAGTCTGTGAGAGCTTATGAGCAGTCTTTGTAGATCTAGTCTGTGGTTTGACCGATTGGATGATATATATTTGGCTTGTCACGAAAATGGCTTAAATTCAAGGAGGTCCAATTTTTTTGCAGACTCAAACAAACAAAGGAAAAGCTTTGGACAGCCAAAATTGAAATGCTTTGCCTCAAAAAATTTTTATTAATCAAAAATTTAAACAATAAAATCTGCCAGTTGCCTGACTTTCTCTGAAGAGAGTGGACCTATCTTATGCGGTCCTAGAACTACAGCCTGAAGGAGTGCTGTGTTTAGTTATGCATCTTCTATCCTACAGGGGATGGAAGTAATGTACACAGATTAAAGCAAGACTTCATCTTCAGCTTGGTGTACTGAAAGAAGGAGTTTAACCCCCGATGATTATACAAGCATAACAATATCGGTTTTTTACTCCACCGGCTGTGAGGACTGGACTACTATGGAAGATTAAGATTACTCTCAAGAGAACTTCAGGGCTTACAACTCTCCATTTTGCATAAGGGGTGCAGTTATGAGTTTCCTTAATCCCATTAACTTGGAAATAGAGTAATAAAGAAGTAACAAGGAGAGCAATCCCTAATACCCTTCCTTTTACAAACCTCCTCATCTCTCTCCTACCTGCTCCACAACTCGTTGTCAAAAGAACTATTTGGAAAAGCAGTAAAGTGTAAAAATGAGATTAACAAGAAAAAAGAAGAAAATATTGAACAGGAAAATTAGAAGGGATGTTTTAAGCTTTAAACTATCTTTTTTACTGATAACGAATGAGGACAAAAATGGGATGGGAGATGTTCCCCCCCCCCCCCTTGTATATTCTACCTGAAGTTAAATGATCTAGAAAGTGTGTAGAAGCTGACACAAGCAAACCATGTGCAAGTAATGCAATGGGAGAGGAAAGGGTTGCGACTTGCTCACTCACCCCCCCCCCCCCATGCCCCCAAGAATTCAATATAGAAGCGCTGAGAAAAGACAGACATTCAGCTAGTTCAAATAAATATAGGGTTTGGAAAAAAGCAAGATCTTTTTAAAAATAGTTCTTACTTTTAAAGCAGCTAATTACAAGGACATCCCTTTCCTTTTTTTTCAAATATACGATTGAAAAATTTATGAAAGATGTATGAACAAGAAAATGAAGAACAAGAAATATAGAAATCTCAAAATATTTTCATCTGATACATAAGTATTAAAGAATATTGTGAAATTTAATTAAAATAAATAATTAATGTTAAAAAAACATTAATCTGCAAAATTTCACATTGATATTTTTCTTTAATATTATACACAATGAAATGAGAGCTAGGTTTATTGCTTAAAAATGGTGCGAAGCTTCATTGAGGCCTAGTAACAAAACAACTGAATGGAACAGCAAAAAAAGGCATTTTAAGGAAAAGTTTGGTGTTCAGTATATGCACTATGCAGCAGTGACTCAATATCGAAGTCCAATGAGTATAAAACTAGTAACACAGCAATTAGGCAGTAAAGAATTATTTCAATTGATAAGTTAATGTTCATAATCCTGAGCTGAAAACTTCAGAGTGAAATACATTATATAAATATCCAATTTGGATACTTTTAATTTCCTCCTTAATCCACTCTCATCTCTCCTTTTGGATATCCGTACTTTGTAATCATCAAACTATAAATATATCGAACCTACAGATTTTTAGGTCAGAAAAACGTAAGGTAGGAAACCCAATAGATTAGTTTTCTCTAAGTTCGATTAGCTGGTAGCGCTTAAATGTTATGTTTTATTTAAGAATTTCGACCGAACTCTTAAATAGTATTTTTCAACACGCTATTTAGACTAAATCAAGGTTTTGGCGTGCTGCTCTCGCCCCTAAATCTTTTCTATATGGCTGTTAGATTCTAATTATTTATTTAGATTATCCCGAAACCTCTGTGCTTTTGTTATAAAATATATGTTTTGCTTCCAAATTAGCTCTCTGTTAAAAAGACGACATCTAGATATATTGCGGGTTTACAGAATCCATACAAGGATAAATATATGAACGGGAAAAGTAATTATGAATTGAAATCATTATAAATCAATGCTAGCTACAATTTATGCAATGTTTGTAAATGAAAAGATTATCAGAATATATCCATTTTAACCCTATCCCTGCTGGGGTACTTGAAAACCAGGATACGCTGGGGGGGGGGGGTCAATTTGACCCCCCCTCTAAATCCCATGTTTTATGTCCAAATATGACAAATGATACATCATTAGAAAGCTCTTGTGCTCTACTTTTAGAATCTGCTGGGTGGGGGGGGTCCAAAAATCGTATACTAGGAAATTACCCCCTAAATCTTACTTGTTTTGGAACATTTATCATTCTCGGATTTTATAATCTACCCTTATACTTGACAGCTTGGAAAACAACGTTTTTTATGGCATATATTGGATTATTTAAATATACAAAACCTGAAAAATCTTTAGTTTAATTTATTTTTATGAAATATTAACCTTAAATAAATAAAGAAATTAAAAGCAAAGCTGTATAATGAAATTGTCGTTACCAAAGTATGTATATAATCTAACTCAAAAATACAAAATCTAACAAAAAGATCATTTAAAATTTAGTAGAAAAATATAACACTAAAAGCCAATCACATAAAATATATCTAAACTCACAAGTCACAGCTTTAAACACGGACCAATCAAAATAAATTAGGGTCGATATGAGGTGCTCAGTGAAAACTATCATTTTTTTAATTACGAAACAAATGACAAAAATAAAATTTCATAAATGAAGGGAAAAGATTTAAATTTGTGTACGTGAATAATATGATGCTGTTCACTTAACTTTATATTCAAAAGCGTGCGATATTAAAGCTGCTCTAATGTATGGTGTAAATACCTCATATACAGGGTGTCTCAATAAACATGGAAAGAAATTTACAACTCTTAAAATCGACCTTAATCCACGTTCCCCAGTGAACTTGCTAACTCTAAAAAACATTTAAAAAACAATGAACACCATATTCCCCAGTTCTAGGATTTTCAAAATGTGGTCTGAATGTTTTGTACCTCCAAAAATCTTTTTAACATTAATAATATCCTGACCTATCGAAATTTCAAATATCCCTTTAGTAAGTTATAACCACATTTCGGAAAGCGTCGCATACTTTCATGTTATCATACAAACTTAATTCCATTAAAAACAATTGCTATGTCGTCACTAGCTTAATTTCCATGCTTATTGTGACACCCCTTATAGTAATATCTGTACATTTAAATAAATTTTAAAAATATCACAAAGTTCTTCCAGGAAGATCAGAGTTTCATCAGCTTCTCGTTCCAAAACCTGAAAACAAATATTTGTAAAATTACAATTTCATGTCTAAATCTAATCAGAGGTGTGTTTTCTCCTGTTTTCCATCGAACTGTCCTTTTCCTAAACAAATCGTTTTTGTTTGTTTATTTTCTGCTGTTTTTTAAAAATATTTTATTAATTATTTTGAAGTTTATTTATTGTTAGAACTGACGAGGTTCAACCCAGACCGAAATATATTTCTATAAAATGGGGAACTAACACCTACTTTAATAACTCTGAATTTTTAAGTAAAAGTTGTTTTGTCTTCATGTTTGTGCCAAGATAAATAAACGAAGAGGGGAGGGAGGAGTAAGAATATAAGTATACCTGATTTCTACCAAGATTTTAAACAACATTGATAGACATACACATTAACACAAAGAGAAGCTGTCAATAACTGCTTCACTTTGTTCACTTGTAGATTAAAAAAGCTTGTTAATAATCAAAATTTAAATCGAAAAGTTGTCTTCATTGTATTGATATAAACGCCGACCACTGTATAATAAAATAATCTTACGAGGACAAAAATGTAATAATAAATTTGACTTGAAACCTGCAGGTGCATTTTCTGCAGTGTGCACTGTGCGTATAGCTTGGCATGATTAATTTTCCATTTTGACACATTATAGAAACGAACTTACATTGCAAGTCTTTCTCTTGGGAACTGATGAGCACCCTCCCTACACAACCAGATTATATCATCAAATTTATACTTTATAACTATCAATTTCAATTAAAGTAATTTTAGCAAGGCAGTTCCAATTTTTTCAAAATGGCAGTTTTTATCTTAGGGTAGCTCGATTTTAGCACCAAAAATTAGGGCCCTAGTGATATTACTGCGCCAAAATATTTCAAGAACTTCACAAAAAAGATATTTTAAAAAGTACAAAATTTGCGAGCTGGGAGCCATTTAAAGGAATTAATAAATGAAAAAAAGTAGTACGTCCGAATTTTTAATCTTCAAAATATATCGATATTGGTATAAAAAGATTTATCTCAACTCTGAAGCCGCTGAATAATGTCCAGATTTTTATTTATTGATAATTATAAATTGGTTTGATTTATTAAAGGAGAAAAATAGACTCACCCTTCTGTTAATCCATTTAAAAACAATAATCCGTATCTATTCATTCCTTCTTTATGGAAAAATGCAAACTTGCAGTTGTTTTCACGGATTATGCAATTAATCGCTAAATTAAAAGTTAAGATGGGCGTCGAAATCAGGTTTTGTAGATCAGCACAATTTCATGCAAAAACTGCTAACTCTATTTTAATTATTTTTCATATATATCTCGTTTCCTAACAATCTGCTGGACCTCCGAGACCTCTAGACCTCGACCTCGGCGTTCAGTCTCCTGGTCTACCCTGCTCGCCATGTAGGTCAGGACAACCAGGATATTCCGGAGAAGATCCTAGGATACAAATATGTAGGTCATAACAACCAGGATATGCCGGAGTAAGTCCAAGGATACAAACTTATTGCGTTTTTTCATATTACAATTATGAGAACCAGAATACTCTGGAATAAGACTCAAGTTGTGACTTTCATAAGTCAAATAAACATGAGACTCAGCAATTGGGCAGCGTGAACAGACCCATTTCACAAAATAAGTGATTTAATAAGTGACTATCATACACACTTGAGTATTGCTTTAATGTCGTATGCATATTCAACAGTTTTCTGCATCTGACTGTTTGAAAAAATGTCCGATATAAAATGGGCCAACAATAACTTTAGGTGCAAGGGGCATAGATTATATATATCACTAATATACAGGGAGACTAAGACATAAAGACGACCTGCAACTCTTAAGATGAAACCTTTAAATATATAAGTTTGCATTTAGCACAGAAATAAAGACTGAATAAATTTGGCGGACAATTTATATTCTCATTCTTTTGTGGTAACCATGCATATCTATATTAAAATAATAATGTTGATAATAATGTAAATAGGGCTTAGTTTAATACATGGTAAGCTTGAACTATTGTTGTAGACGATTATATCAATTCACTGAAGACAACTGTATATTTCAATTTTGATTTATATCAAGCTGTTAAACAGCATTCATAAACATAAAAGTCAAGAGAAGCTCTCATGCTTGTTAACAATCAAAACTTTAATGAAAACGTCGTCTTCATTGTATTGTTATACACCAATTAATCCCAAAAATTTGACTAAATTTTGGCGGTCGAAAAGAATGTAACACTGTATCTTTAAACCTTAATAATTTATTTTGATAAAGTTTTACAATATTTTAAATATTTATAATACTGTATCTAATTTGACCGAAATATATATTATTATTATTACTACTATCGCCTACCAGGCTACCACTGTACGCTTACAGGGTTACCAAAATTCTAAATCCAATTAATGCCATAATTTAAATGGAAGAAATTATCTTGTAAACGCTATTTTATCTCTGGACAAAGGTTGCCACTAACAAGAATACAAGAAAAAATACAATCCACACTCCACTAGACACAAGAAGCAGGTGATATTTATGCGATATTACTGGTGCAACCTTGTGACAACGTAGCTCCTCAATAGTTTGATTCACGCACAAGTATGAGATATTACATATCATAAAGTCATATTATGTTTCATCTTTTCAATAGCTCTTTAATGAGAGGATTTAGGATTAAAAACTTATAATTTCAATCTAACGAGAAAATTAATTTCAATGACGTGAATTATCTCTAATCCAGCCAAATCTTTGATTAGGAACCTTGTATCATGCTAAAAGGGATTTTACTTTTTTAATCCAATATGGCGACTAGCGGAGAAGAAAAAAAGACCTGAAAAGCCGGATTCTTGGAATATAACTCAAACATTTCTTTCTTGTAGAGGACAGCATAGATTAGGTTTGGATTGTTCTGAATCTAAATAGAAAGGGAAAAATTAGGAAATCATTCTTGGAATTTCCAGTGTTTTATTCGCTGACTTGGGGAAAATAAACAACTTTTAGGGAAAAATTAATTAATTTTTGTGTAAAAAATATCAAAAATAATGAAAGAAGTTGCCTTTTGATGTCCAATTTTTCATCCCCCCCCCTCCTAATTCTTGAAAGTAAACACCCCTATATTTGGTACGAAAAGTTAGTGTAATTTGCTTTATCTCATGGAAGAATTTTACCATCTGAAATGAAAGCAAAGCCTTTTTAATTACATACAAAGAAAACCATAAATGCATGTCATGTCATGTCATGTCATGTCATGTCATGCCATGTCATGTTGTGTTTTGTCATGTCATATTCTATGGATTGTGGGGTACCGTTGTGAATGAGGCATGTTTGTATGTCGTCTAGAGTCCCTTTAAGAATACCTGATGAATGAAACAACTATTGATGATCTCTAGAACCATCCTGAGAACCTCCTCCAGTACAGCTGCATCTTGGACAGCATCACTCACCTCAACAACAACCAGGGGGGTTAGATTGGGAACATTACAACAGCATTGAGAGATTATTCATCTTAAAGGGAGTGACCGGCAACGTTTGGTAGTTGAACTGAGAATGTAGTATTGTTGAGACATTTTTTAGGGATCATTTGAGACAAAATGAGACGTTTTTACGGTGCATATATGTTCAGCAAGAGCACAAATTCAAGCTTTAAATCCGCATAGATTGTTCAGTTTTGAGGGATGATTTTGAGAATAAGTTTCTAAAAGATTATTCTATAACGACGACGAAAAATGTAGTGAAAATTCTACAGTAAACTAATTAGTTGTTTAGGAACAGGTTCAGAAAATAAAAATAACTATTATTCTCGAAAGTAATTATCTTATTTAGTTGTTGGTTTTTGGAATTGTTCATTGTTCACAAACATTTTCTGTAGATTTCCTGAAATTTTTATTGCAAATACGACATTTTAAGAATTTGAAGTAGTCTGCGAACAAATTCATAAAGAAAAAGAAATTCAATATAATGACGAAAAGGAAATAATTGACGATTCTAACATTGATTTATTGAAAAAATTTCAAATGAGAAATAGGTTCCTGAAAATCTAATTAGTTTACTGTAGAATTTTTTAAAACATTTTTTGTCGTCACTATTTAATAATTTTAAAAAATCGATTTTAAAAACGTAGCCACCAAAATTAATAATTTTGAGCGTCGACTTTGCGCTTAAACTCAGTTTTTATATATTATATATACGTCTCAAATAAAAACCTTGAAAAAACTACAAAACTAAATACTCAGTTCAACTACCAAACATTGTCGGTCACTCCCTTTAACATGTCGAGAAATTTATTCATATCAAAGGCAATGTAGACGTATTTTCAAGGGACTATCTATTTCCTGTTTCACAACGGTTCCCTTTAAACCTTAATCTAATCAATAATGTAAAATCAATTTAAATAATTAGTGCATGACTTATGAAAAGTACAGTACACTACCATATTAATAGATAGGTCGACCCTAGAATATAAAATCAATTCATTTCTAAGTTCTAATTGTGGTATCCCAATCAAAGTGAATTGCATTTTTTTAACAGCAATAACAAAGTAGGTTATATACGGAATAAAACACTTTTACCGATGGAGCAAGAAAATGTCTTTCCCTTTGTTGCTCAGACATCGATTTAAAGGATACCGCGTCGAGAATCAGATATACTACTTTTTAAATGGAGTCACTTGACAAATTAAGTCTACAGTCTCTTTAATGTATGAACTAACCTCGTCGAATCCATCCTCTGTATCCTCTGACTCTAATCCCTTGAGACCGTTCACCAACCTCGTGTGTTTCCTAACAAATACAGTGGTCACAAACAACTTTTGAATAATTATCGTCTTAGTTTTTCATTATATTACAAAATACTACAGAATGATAATGTTTTAAATGTGCTACATATGGGATTTGGATAACAAGTAATTAACCTAGCGTATGTTTCAAATGTGCTACATATGGAATATGGATAACTATTTACTAACCTAGCTAATGTTTTGATAAAATAATGACTATTCTCTTTGCTACATATGGAATATAGATAACTATTAACTAACTTAGCTAATGTTTAAATAAAGAGACTATTCTCTGTGCTACATATGGAATATAGATAACTATTAACTAACTTAGCTAATGTTTCAAATAAAGAGACTATTCTCTGTGCTACATATGGAATATAGATAACTATTAACTAACCTAGCTAATGTTTCAAATAAAGATACTATTCTCTGTGCTACATATGGATGAAGGTTGGTACAGTGAGCAGACATGTTAGCCAAGGCAGCCAGGCAGTTAGTGTGCAAGTACTTGTCCTAAATATAAAAAATTTAGCCGTAAACAACCGAACAGGACTTAAATAAACTGTAGACGTAATTTTAAGTGAAACTCACATTGACATGCAAAGAGTGTCTGAGAAAGGATTACGTATATTTTCTTATTATTATATCTCAAAATTAAGAAGCGGTAAGGCAAGCCGCCCTGTATAGCCTCCATCCCGCAATTGACTCCCAAACATAGAGTCGCGGCTCCGCGCTTACCATCGCACCCATATATCTTTAGGCAAAATGTCTTTACGTTTTAATGCTTATTATTGGGAAATGCAGCGTTAATTTAAGATTTTAAAGTCGTCATGGCTACCTACACATATTAATCAAATTGTGAGTCAATTTCATAATGGAGGCTATAAGGTTGCGGCTTGCTTTTCCCCCCTCAATTAAGTGCCGTGAAACCAAGAGTGTACAGTGTACACTAAAGAAAGAGTACACTTTAACCTTGAGTTTACCGGAATCCTTGAAAAAAATCCTTGTTCTGAAACAGTTATAAATGGCATCATTATGAATCAGACTTTACAATTTGCAGGTTAAACTTACGTCTACTGTCCTTGAAGACATTCAAGAAGTTAAAGTTGATCCCTTTTGCACATTGTGAGTTTAAAAAAAGCGCTTTCTGTAGTCTGTCTTTAATTGGTCAAATTTAAGAAAATTTACCAATTATATATTATGCAAAATGCAACCAATGATTACTATTCTTAAATCAGTTGATTTACTGAGTGAAACTCACAAATCAAGTCGTATAGATCCTTCACTGACGCGTACTAGCGTCTGAAAAGTTTATATTCGTGCCGCAACGTTCATGTAAATAGCACAATGGGCTTAATGAACAAAAATATTTGTATTTCCATAATATTACAAAGTTCTAGCCAAGCTTCCTCCCCACAACCACTTCACAAACTGTGGAAATATACAACAACCCCAATTTCTACTGGTCGATTGATTGATTAACTCGAAATATACAGCTAAATGCAGCTGTACGATTAGTATATCACTTTCGAGTCACTCAGGCAGGACGGTCCGCGTCAGTGATGGATCTTTACTTCCGGATCTGTAGTTAAACTCAAAAATTCCAAATTTTCTGTTTTGAAAGAAAAGAATGGAAAAAATGAAGCTATAATTAAATAAAACATGAACACGAAAACAACCCTATTCACAGTTAACTGTTCAATTCAATGGAAAACTTGAGTGCTAATAAAAAAAGAATTTCCTATAATATTATGAAAATTACCCTCATCTTTAGCATATTGTACTGGATTGTTCTACACAGTTTCAAATTTCAAATTAATTAAAAAATGAAAATAACATCAATCCCAAAAAGTTTTATTATTGTAAAAAATGTTTCCAAAAAAGGGTTGAATTAGAATCTGAAATGTTCCTAATGACTACAAGTATCACGAGACCACCTAGAGACAGATCAGTACATGACCTTTCCGTGTACCAACCAATCTGTGCACCCCGTAGTACACATCCATGGATTGTCTGAAATATAAAATTAAAGGAAGTGTTCGTGAAAATTCAAAGGGGGACTAGGTCAACTTCTATTAAATATAAATATACAACGGTATCAATAACAATGCTAAAGGATGATTAAGTTAAGAGAAATGAAAAAGGGAAAATTGTAGTAAATAGTTTTGTACACACCCCGTAACATTTGTCATTAATACGTCCTGAACTATCAAGTAAAATTTGAAATTTGTAAAAAATCTTGACATTCAACAAAAAAATGTAATTTCTTACACTTTTTTCAGAGGGCACTCGTTTCTTGTTGCTTCAATTTTAATTGACTGCGCACATTATAATCTTACCTGGTTAAAAAGGTCGTCTTCTGAGAGTATAAGAATAATTATAAGAGACATGTATGTAAGATGACTGTTGGATTCAGGGGCTCCATAAAGAGTCTAATAATAATTCGACATTTATAACAAGCTGAAGGGCCCGACGTTGCCCGTGAAAAACAATTCGATTTTAATACCCCCCGGCCACCCCTGAGTGTCCACAAAAATTTCAGCCCAATCGGTCCAGCCGTTTGGCTGGCTATAGGCAACATATATATATAAACGAATGTCTTGTTTTATTATATAGATAAAACCTTTTTATAAACCAATAATTTATTGAAATTATGAAATTAAATGAAATGAAATGAAATGAAAGTAAGAAAGATTTATACTTTTTGTCTAATCTAATCTTTTACCCCATCCCCCATCAAGTAATTAGAAAATTCCTTCTTGGAATATTGTATAAATTACCAAGTTGAAGTCTAGTCAAGTTCAGATGAAAAATGAAACTTGAACTGTGGAAACACGAACAAACGCAACAAAAAACAGAGATTACTACAAAGCAGATTGTAGATGAGCGACCTGTAGGATTGGAAGCACTAGTTGATCAATATCTGTTGCAGCAAACACGTAGTTTCGGAAGGAGGAGCACTTGAGTAGAAGCAGGTAGAGGAGCAGAGTAGGCTCATCGTTCTAGGATACAATATACATGGGATTCATAATAACAAGGGGTTTCAAGGTGTTCCAGGGGATTCCAAGGGATTTCAGGGGTTCCAAGGGATTTCAGAGGATTCTATGGAGGATTAGATGTTCCAAAGTGTTCCAGTGAATTCCAAGGAATTTCAGGGGGTTCTAGGGAATTCGGGGGGTTTAGAGATGTTCCAGGGGATTCCAAGGGATATCAGAGGGTTCTATGGAGAATTAGAGGTTCTACGGTGTACCACGGAATTCCAAGGGATTTCGGGGAGTTAAGGTTTTCCAAAGGTCTATATACCTGTAAAGTATTGGATAAGGTTTTGTAAAGCTGAATAAATTCAATAACAAAACTTGTTCCGGGAGCTATCTCTCCTCCTCGGCCTGAAATTATTAAATAAATTAAATAAATCGATCAATCAAATATAATTGTGAATTAAAAACATAAATATTTTGTATTTTGTAATATGGATTATGAAGAGCATAACTGATGAATTAGAACAGCTGAATAGTTTTGTTCTGAATGGATTATGAAGGATATAAGGAATCATAAGGAATTGGAATCTGCAAGAGACCCCATTGTGGGCCCCCCAGACCGCCCAGATGAATTAGAACAGCTGAATAGACTATAGTGCTGTTCTGTATGGATCATGAGGGGTATACCTGATGAATTAGAACAGCTGAATAGTGCTTTTCTGTATGGATTATGAAGGATATACCTGATGAATTAGAACAGCTGAATAGACTTTAGTGCTGTTCTGTATGGATTATGAAGGATATACCTGATGAATTAGAACAGCTAAAAAGACTATAGTGCTGTTCTGTATGGATTATGAAGGATATACCTGATGAATTAGAACAGCTGAATAGACTTTAGTGCTGTTCTGTATGGAATGAAGGATATACCTGATGAATTAGAACAGCTAAAAAGACTATAGTGCTGTTCTGTATGGATTATGAAGGATATACCTGATGAATTAGAACAGCTGAAAAGTGCTGTCCTGTATGGATTATGAAGGGAAGGATCTGTATAATGATTTTGAAGGATCATTAACAAGGACAATGAACACTCCGCTGAAATAACAAACAAATCCTTTATAAAATACAAAAAATGTTTACAGATAAAATCAAGGAAGGATATGATAGGGCAATGCTGTTATGTTTATTTAAAAATTCATGAATCTTACATATTTAAAAATGAACATTCTATCGGATTAAAATTTTAAAAATCCGATAGAATGTTCGACAGTTCACGAAAATACACGAAATATACAAGAAAACTGGTTTTGCCGGTATAAAAACTACTTATTTGCCTCGAAACGAATACAAAATTATTATCTCAGGGATCATGAAATCGGTAGTAAAATGCGCGATAGTAACTCTCTGAAAATGTGATAGATGAATGATTATTACCTAAAGGTTTGATAGGACCTCTAAAGTCCCCTGAGCCAGAGGACGCATACCCCAGGGTTAGAATATTAAGGAATCCTAAACAAGATTAACATGCTTGAAAAAATTTAAAATATATATTTTTAAATTATTGAATGTAAAAAAATATTTGAACTTTAATACTGTTTGTTCTGTTCTTATAATTACTAATTAAATATACGCCTTATTATTTGTAAACATAAAAAACCGAATGTCAAAAAAATTACGTTTTAATTTTACCTAATACCAGACTTCCCCCTGCCTGCCCAAGGGGGTCGGGGGGAGCAACAGCTTGTTCAATATAGCGGAGGAGTAGTGTACTGGTCAAAGGAACACTTAATTCACTTAAATCTCCGGTCATCATCTAAAATCAAAGTTTTTTAGAAAAATCGTAATTTAAAAATATGGGGTTATGTGCAAAAAACAAACAAAATAACTTAAATCTGCACAATCTTTTAGCTCTCTCTACCTGTTTCCAGCTCTGAATCTGATGTAGGTTTACAGATCCTACCTGTATCCAGCTCTGAACCTGATTTAGATCTACTACTGTACGTGTTTCCATCTCTGTATCTGATGTAGATCTACTACTCGACCTGTTTCCAGCTCTGTATCTGATTTAGATCTACTACTGTACGTGTTTCCAGCTCTGTATCTGATTTAGATCTACTACTGTACGTGTTTCCAGCTCTGTATCCGATGGAGATCTCTACTCTACCTGTTTCCAGCTTCATATCTGATGTAAATCTACTACTCTTTCTGTTTCGTTTCCAGCTCTGTATCTGATGTAAATCTGCTATTCTACCTGTTTCCAGCTCTGTATCTGATTTAGATCTACTACTCTACCTGTTTCCAACTATGGTTCTGATGTGGATCAACTACTCTACCTGTTTCCAGCTCTGTATCTGGTGTGTAGATCTACTATTCTACCTGTCTCCAGCTCTACATCTGGTGTGTAGATATACAACTCTACCTGTTTCCAGCTCTGTATCTGATGTGTAGGTTTTGAGCATGTGAATACTGGTGAGGAGAGAAGAACTATTAAGACCTTAGTTCCTTCAAGGTGGAGATAGTAGGTGGAGGACCTGATAGATAAATTAAAATATTAATCAACTACTTTTTTTAAAATTTGATTTTTATTTCACTTATTCCTTGTAAATACCTGTTACTTGAATAAAATGAACGGATTGAAGTTCATAAACAATTGAAAGAAAGAAATGTTTGAAGCTTACTTGATTGGAATCTCAATGAGCAAGGTAACGAGTGATGCCAGAAATCTGCTGAATATCTCGGAGGAGTCCTCATCATTAAACTGCTTAACGAGCTCCTTAAAATTAATCTGATTAACGAGCTCCTTAAAATTAAACTGATTAACGAGCTTCTTAAATTTAAACTGTTTAACGAGCTCCTAAAATTTAACTGCTTAACGAGCTCCTTAAAATTAATCTGTTTAACGAGCTCCTAAAATTTAAACTGTTTAACGAGCTCCTTTATACTTAACTGTTAAACAATTAAAAAGCACCTGCATATTTAAATGATTAACTGGCTCCTTAAAATTATACTGAATAACGGACCCCTTTAAAAATAAACTAATTGACCGAGCTCCCAAATATTGTAAAATCTCATTTAAACAAGCTTTTTTTCAGTTTAACGAGCTCCTAAAAAATTAAGTGTGTAACGAGCTTATTAAAACTCAACTATTTAACAAGCTAATTTAAGTTTAAAGAAATTTTTTTATTTACATATTTAAGTTTACAGAAATTATCATCTGTATATATAGTAGCTTGTCTGTTTGTTTGTATCCAATAAACTTCAAAACGGCTGAACAGATTGGGCCCAAATTTTGTGGGGACCTCACATGACCCCAGGGGAGGTTTATTAATGATCAAAATTTCAAAAATTAGCCTTTTTTTTAAATCCGCAAACTTTTTGTTTGTTTTGGTTTTACAATGTATCTATACAAAGAGAAAATGTTCCAATTGAAAAAGAAGTAAAGTAAAGTATTTACATATTTACTGCATATTCAAGTTTACAGAACTGCTCATAGTGTCAAGTACAGAAATGAAATAATTAAGGCTAGATTTAAAATAACCTCTACAGAAACTTGAACCAATATGTCTTGTACATGAAAACTAGGGGTTCAGAAGGTGCCCATCAAAGTTATTCTAAGACCAGTCTATGTTAATTATCAATCTGCTCTATCTGTCCTGGAACTAGAAACCTAAAGGATTAGGCGAGAGAAACTTTGTTTATTCTTTACTAAAAAATGCCTAAAACCTCATGCTAGAACGAAGAAATACAGAAAATCTGCTATTCCTTGAATGCAGAGAAAATTAAATTCCCTATAAAATAACTTTATCTTATTTTGTGATATAACCCATGATATATTCAATTATATTCTTATGAGAACGTTAATCATATTATAATATACTATTTTGATCTTGATTTATCTCTAATAAATCTTACTTTCTCACTTACATCAAAAAAAGCTAAATGTGTTTATGAAAATCAAGATAAAATATAATTCCTTACCTCCTCCTTTATCCTTTCTGTCATAAACTTGACAATCACACGAACCAAATACAAAGCATTGCATGTCTAAATATATATTTTTTTTTCAAAGAAAGTTTATCTTATACTTAAATCATACCAGCTAAATATATAGATAATTGTGTATGTTTAAAACTATATTAGGAACCAAGATTTACCACTCAACTAAGAATTTTAAACCAAGCTACAAATTTTCTAAACTAAGCTATGAACGATTTAATGGCAATTTTGAGTTCCAAGTTAATATTTAATGCAAATCGACCACGGTGTTCATGAGTTATGATCGGAAATGCAACCTAACAAAACCAGTCTCAAGGTGTAAATTGATATTAACAGACTGAGGTCAGTTAACTAAATTCTTTACGTACTAAATCTAAAAAAGATTTCACCAAAAATCCTCGTTCTTCTACATATAAATTTGGCTTGTCTGTCTGTTTGTCTGTCTGTTTGTATCCAATAAACGTCAAAACGACTGAACCGATCGGCCCAAATTTTTTGTGGGACATCACGTGACCACAGGGAAGGTTTATGAATGATCTAATTTTCAAATATTTGTCTCCATCAAAATTCGATCTTCATTAAATTTTTGAAAATTTTGAAAATCCACGAAATTTTTTGTGAAAATCCGCGAATTATTTTTGTTTTGTTTTACGATGTACACAAAGAGAACATGTTCACAATTAATTTAGAAGATGGGCGCGAAGCGCCCCCTAAGGCTAGTTTTAATAAATTTAAATAAGTAAAGAAATATAAAATGTGAACCTGCCATATGTAAACATGGTTCTCGGTTTCTACTGAGGCTTCTGCAAAATAATTATAAAAGTTAGTTAATCCTAATTTTTTAAAAGTGCCAACTCTTAACACTCCCTTTAACTAGACCTTACCTAACCCTGATAAGTCCCTTTACTAGACCCTATCTAGTCCCAAACAATCCCTTTACTAAACCCTAAAAAGTCTCAAACAATCCCTTTACTAAACCCTACCAAGTCTCAAACAGTCCCTTCACTAGAGCCAAGATAATCCCGAACTGTGCCTTTACTAGACCCTACCTAGCCCCAAACAATCCCTTTACTAAACACTACCTAGTCCCAAACAATCCCTTTACTAAACCCTACCTAGTCCTGAACAGTCCCTTTACTAGACCCTACCTAGTCCCGAACTGTGCCTTTACTAGACCCTACCTAGTCCCGAACTGTGCCTTTACTAGACCCTACCTAGTCCCTAACAATCCCTTTACTAAACCCTATCTAGTCCCAAACAATCCCTTTACTAAACCCTACCTAGTCTCAAACAATCTCTTTACTAAACCCTACCAAGTTCTACAGTAAACTAATAAGTTGTTTAGGAACAGGTTTGAAAGTCGGCTTTGTGCTCAAACTCAGTAATTATACATCATCAAAACGTTTTATATGTCTCAAATAAACCCTAAAAATTTCTCCACAAACTACAATCTCATTTTAACTGCCATACATTGCCTGTTACTCCCTTTAATTGACCCCTACCTAATTCTGAACGTCGAAGTAGAAGAAGTTTGATAAGTGAACTGAAGTTTTTGGTTTTCAGATTACTTAAACACACAAATTTTAATTATAGAATTGAAGAAGTTTGATAAGTGAACTGAAGTTTTTAGTTTTCAGATTACTTAAACACAAATTGTTATTATAGAATTGAATAGGTTATTTCCCAGTCAATATTTTTGGTATGGCATGGGGTTAATAAAATTTTTTTTTAAATATACTTTTGCTATAGCTATAAAAGGCAACAAAAAAAGGCAGTTAATTCACTAAAAATAATTTTAAGAACTATTTCAAAGTTTAAGACTTTTTTTTTCAATCTAAAAATCAATTTTAAAAATTCATTCCTTTTAAATCTAAAACCTTTATTAAACTTGTTCGGAGCCCGTGACTGTGATTCCATTAAGGACTGAAAAACCCAGTTTTGATCGAATTGTTTGATTATAACATTTGTGTGTTTAACCTGATTAGAAATCTTTTCAGCATTTCCTCTGTATTCTCCTCTAATATTTTCCAATCATCTCTTCATAAACAAATTGTATTTAAATATAAATATTTCATCTGTTAGAATATTATCTGAGTCGGAAATTACGTGTTCAGTCCCTTGAAAAGGTATTCTTCGTGCCCAAAACGTTCATGAAACTAACCCCCCTCCCCTCAACCAGGTTTTCAGTGGCAATTTCAAGCTCTCCGAAACGCAAATATTTTAAATGGTTTTGAACAATAAAAACTTTAATATTTTGTGAAGAGCTATTAAGCAAAAAACCTTGATAAGTATTTTATTTTTTCCTAAAGCTTTAAGAGGAATTGGACACAGATCCGTCAGTGGTAGGTGGGCATTCGGCGCATGCCCCCCCCCCCACCGATTAAGATAAAACTTATGACGAAATAAGTGCTTTCTCTCCGTGCAGAAGGATGAGTGTAGAAACATATTCTCATGAAGCCGGGATTAATGAAAACCTAGTTCATCTAATTCTCGCTATTAATAAAGCCCAATCTCTAATATTATAAATTATAATTGATTGACTCTAATGAGTAAGAAAGAAAGATAAAGGGAATTGGCATTGTTTTCTTCTCTGATTTTAAATATTCAAGTTTCAATTTGATTTTTAAGGAACTATAGAATAATTTAAGATGTTTTTTGTTTAACCTATTTCAAAGATTATGCAAGATAAGTATGCTTTCACAAAATGCTGAACTTTTACTCTGACTTAAGATTTCAACCAAAACCTTCATTTCAAAACGGTTGATAAAATCGTTATGGAAATCCTTTTGAGAAATCTTTGGTCATATAAAAAAAATTGCTTGATGTAATAAAGCAAACTTATAGAAAACCTTTAAGACAGCCTTTAAAAGAAAACATCTTGAAATTTGAATGTTAAAAACGAAGCTTAAATTGAGGCCCATCCATACCTGGATTGAGGGGGCAGGTGGTTGAAAGAGAGAAGAGAATTCCAGAAAGGATCTGAGGGTGTTAACACTTCTTTACTAAATTACGAAACAAGATTTAAAGAGAGACTGTCGTCGTAATTTTAACCCCGATTCACAACAGTTCCCTTTAAAACTTAAACTGAGTAAGAATTTGGGAGATATCACAGTTTTCTGAAAGAGTTTTAAAGTTGGAATTTTTCCTACTTTGTCTCTGCTGCATACATCCGTAAGTCACATTTACAGAGAACCCACGTTTAAAAATATCTATTTACGGATGAATAAACCAGGATATCTGCAACATTTTAGCATACATGAAAGTAAAAAGGGTACCTTGGTGAATCGGATGTGACCCTCTTTTATAAGAATGGTTACTTAAAATCAGGACGGCATTTTCTTTAAAACATATTTTTTCATGAAAACCTCGTTGAAAACTGAGAAACTTTCATTGTAAAAAGTTCTTTTATCAATGAAGTGCTGACCATTCGTTATTTAAGTTCATGTTTCAAATAAAGAGTTCAATATTGTGAACGACAAAAGAATTGTTCGAAATTTCAAATTAAAAGATCGAAAGCTTCGTTATTTTTTCTTTTAACAGTGTTATTATCATTACTGCGGATATCAATTCTTAGAACTAAAATATATAGGCTGTCGAGTACCCTACTAACCCGAAAACCTAAAAATACTAAAGCCTCTATAAAGGTATACGTATTATTAGGTATATTTACGTAAAAATACTTATGCTCAACTTTTTGGTAAAGAACTTACGTATATTTACATATTTTTACTCATTTATCATACCAAGCGTTTTTTAAATGCTAGGTTTTCCAGAGACGAATTTTTACGAATAATTACCAAGTACCAAGTAATTTTCTAAGTTTTTAGGTTTTTATTTTACGTACTTTTACGAATTTTTTCGGTTTTTTCTTTTCTTAGTTTTTTTGTGAAGTTGAAAGTTTGATGCAGACCTGAAAATACGTTTATTTTCGTAAATTTCATACCAAATACTTTTTAAAAAATTTATAGATTTTTATTTTACGCATTTTTACATATTTTTTCGGGGTTTTCTTTACTAAAAAATTGCACAAAAATGCATTTTTAAGTTAGAGTTTAAAAATATTATATGATTTTTTAAGATAATTGGATTGTAAGAAATTTAATCCAACTATTTTGAAAAATACAATGTTTAAAAATTTCTATTGTTTTGGAGCAAATTGATTTTTTTATTTGAATCAATGTCAATAAATTCTCCATTTTTGATAAATAACAGTGTATGTATGAATGTTGATTTAGATGGATACAGATGAAGGAAAGATGATGGTGTGCATCTGTTAGGAAGAATATTGGATTGGATTGAAACTAAATGATATGAATACTGTAAAGAAGACCTGAAACTCTTAAATACAAATCAATTGTTCTGCTTTGGATGTAGTCTTTTTATGACCTTTTAAAGGATCGTGCAAAGAAAAAAAAACAAGTTTACAGTTGCAGAAAAGTCTCTACAGTCTTTTTCTATGTGGGTAACCCTGTAACTAAATTTTCAAGCAACTAGCTTAGGATTCAGAAATCATACTTTTTATATATATTTGATCCGTAGCGGTTAAATATATTCAAACTTTTTTGGTGCTAAATTGAGTTCTCTACCTTACAAGACGATTTAATAGTTCATTCTTATTCAGATCTTTGTAGTTATACCGACCATTTCCATTTCCCATTTTCTCTGAAAAAAAACACATTATCAATATTAAACATTTTTATCTCATTAGAGAATTTTAATTACCTTTTTCTATCAATCCACTCGATTTTTAAAACTAGACTATGAGTATTCCTGCGACACTATAGCGAGTTATTCAATCAAAATTTAACAAATGTATAATTAAAGATATTAAGAAGTCGTTAATACTGTGATGAAAAAAACATAAATAAACAGATGTAATAAAAGAAAATTAAAATAAAAATTCTTAAAAATTCTTATAACGCATCCTGAACTTTAAGTAAAATAGAAACAAATAAAAAAGATTTTTTTTTTTAATATTAAGCAACAGGTTTAAAAAATAACACTGCACAACAGTATGTAGGATAACTGCCAATAACATTTTTAATTTATATGAAAAGATATATTCCTAAGCCATCAAATATACTTGCAGTATAAAGAAAAGTAGGTATACTTGCAGTTTAAAGGAAAAGTAAGCGAAATTACAGTGGCCCTCCATTCAAAGATATCATTGCCCGATTCACATCGGTACCCTTGAAACCTTTATCTGATCAATTATGTGGAAGATATTGTCGGTTTTCTAGTTTAAGAAAAGTATAATTCTGATAATTCCCATATTCCTAATCCTGCAGGACAGTAGAAATACGCAATTATCTTATGTAGAGAAATCAAAGTAAAAATAATCAGTTTTTAAAATATAAACATTGATATCTAAATCATGCTTAATCAGACAAAGCTTTTAAGGGTACTGTACAAGCATTGCCATTGTTGCATGGATGGTCTCTTAAAACTACGCTATACAGTCCCCATGAAAAAGGAAAAAAATTATTTATGATGTTTTTTTAAAATTTTTCCTTCAAATTTTTTATCTTAAAATTCTCTCTGAAGTACAATTAAATTTGTTCTAGTATTCCCCGGGGTTGATTTATAATAGTAATTTTGTAAATTTCATATGCAGCAGTCAGAAAGAGAAGGCAATATAACGGAAGAAAAAGTTGAATCTAAGATTCCCCAGAGGACTCATAGCTCACTTCATATAACTTTTTACATTTGAGCCAAATACAATTTTTTTGTTGTGATTATAGATTAATATACTTTTAAACATAGTAAGCAAATATTGATAAAGGATTTACATTAAATTTCATTAGTTTTGATTTTTAGTTCAGAAAATAAATCACCAACTAAAGTGCCCGTGTAAAAATAAAAAAATAAATTTAAAAAAAATCGCTTTTGAAATTTTTTATTTTATTAGCCCATGTTATCTCAGGGTACCCATGGAATCCTTCAAAAAATGTCAGCCAATTAGGTTCAGCCGTTTCATCAGCCAAAGCTAATATTTACATATATTAATTTGCAAATATACAAACACGAGCGAAGAGCTTTATTACATAGATTTGATGAGATATTTAGAGATGATAAAATGATGTTTTGTTTACATACAGTCATAACCAGAAAGACCCGGAGTTAATTCACAGTTAATTAGACGACTTTACAAATATTTAAGGTATTTTTAAACATCCAATAAAGAAAGACCACATATTGGAATTGGCAGGACTTATTTTGTTATTATCGTTTTATAAATCACATTTGTAAATTCGAATGTATGGTCGTCTAACTATTCATAAAACTAATTCCGGGTTTTTCTGTTTATGACTGTATAACCTACAGGGTGTCCCACGAAACATGACATTTGATAAATAGTTATGTTTAGTTAAACAAATCTTTTGCTTAATTTTATTTTACTTTGAAATCAATTTTTATATAACATGACTCCAATATAATATTTTTATTGATCTTTGGTGTCAAACTACTGAACAAATAATTGAATAAGACATTCTAAACTATTCATCAACTGTCATGTTTCGTGGGACACCCTGTAGATAAATTAGAATAGATTGTTCATGTCGTCTTCACCATACCGGAGGGTAACGTTGAAATTGAAAATGGAAATTTAGCTATGGACTAGCTACTGACATACAGTACATTGGATATAAAGGTTTGCGGCAAGTATATTTGTACTCTGTACAAATTTATGGGGGTTTGTTTACAAATATTGCAGACAAACTAGATAAAAGTTGAATTTCAAAGGATTAGAACGAAGATTAGTTGCTGCTTTCTACCGATATGTGAGTGATAATGATGACAATCCGACTCCCCTTACACACAAAGAACACATAAAAGTTGGAAGACTTTTCAAACTATTAAATCTCTTGGGATGATACCGATACTTTGGTAAATTCTATGTGTCAACAATCAACAAGTGGACAGTGAAAATCTCGGTATGATTACCATTTTTTTTATTTTATTAAATTAACTAAGTTGATTCTGTCCTAGTATACAATTTTTGGACCCCCCCCCCCCCCCCCCCCCTCCTATCAATTTTGTCCATGACCGCCTTTTTTCAGCAAAATTATTATTATTATCATTTAAATTATCTTAGGGTTAGGTTAGGTTAATTCCACTTCTTCAGTTAGTTACAATTCTCCATCTTAAAGTTACAACTCCGTAGTAAAGTAAATGGTAAAAATTGTATTATTTTTAAATTCTAAATTATTTTAAAAGTTTTAAAGAGACCTTAAAATATTATTTTGTTTTCTCAATAAAAAACTCAATGCATTGAAGCTGCAGGCTGCATGCGTATTGTTGCCATGCAAATATTAAAAACTGTTGGTATTGTTAAGAGGAGAGGAGGGGGGTGGGAAGTAAAGTTTTTTTTTAAAAAAGTAAAAAACTTTTTACAAAAATTATCAATTTATTTATTTCTCCCCCTTCTTCCCATAATTTTATACAAAAATGTTTTTTTTATCACCTGTAAATATATTCGTAAAAAAAAGTTTTGAGTGAGGGTGGGGGGTATGGGGGAAAGGTTTCTTGTTCATGGGAAGAGGGAATTGAAAAATACATTTTTTAATACATCTCCCCTATCATTTTTTCATGCGTATATAATATGTTAGGCTGCCAGGAGATCAGCTGTTTACTTGATTATAAGATAGATAGATAGAGAAAATAGATAGATAGATAGATCCAGATTTGAACACAGCAGACAGAATTTAGAAACTAGTATTGGTTTAACTAGATATACGCAATACTTGAAATTAATACAAGAAGTAACATAAACATTGAACTGTCTAAGATTTTAACCTTGACAGATATAGACCTAAGACTTTGTTTTTTTGTATTTATTAATAACCAAATTTCTTAAAACTGTATCACATAAATCTGCGAAAAGTATTTACAGCTATAGAGTACATCCTAGTAAAATTTTAGCCAATATATTTTATTATAAATTGACATTTTAAAGTTAACCAATTTATGCAACGTGAAATCTGCTAAATTATAACAAATAATTTGAATATTTTCAGAAAATCTGCATTTAAAATGCCTCCACTCACAGCATGTTCAAGATTGCTTTGGAGTGTAAAGAAACAGGTATGTGTGTACACTGAACAGGTATGTAATGTACATATCTCAAGGCACAATGATTATAAACTCGAATTTCCAAACGATGCTTTTATAACAAACAAAAATTAATCAGATTTTTTAATGGAGTTATATAAATGCTTTTAGAATTTTGATCTGGCAAGATGCTTTTCCATCAGCCAGTCTGTTCTAGGTCCACAGTTCCTAGGAAGTCCAGAAGAAGCCCTTCAGGTATCTTAGATTCGTACGTTAACTAGTGTGTCTGTTTGTTGATACGTGTGACGTGTATACCGTGTACAGCAAACTGTACATTGTAATGTACATAAATATGTAACATGACCATATCAAATTCTTAAAATATTTAAACCTAAAACAATTCAGAGGCGTATTCTGGGGGGAGGGTATGGGGGCTCAATCCCCCCCCTTAAATATATATGTATATATTCTCAAATAAAACAGGGAAATGTTGTCTTAAAAATAATTTTTTCATCCCAGTTAATTTTTAAAAAGCCCCAGGTAAAGCTAAAAAATAGGGAAATGTTTAAGGTGTGGATGATTTTGGTCTCGGACTACTCTTGAAGCAGAAGCAGATCAAGAGGATGATTGCCTCATATGTTGGAGAGAATGCGGAGTTTGAAAGACAATATCTCCAGGTTAGTTTAAAGAGACAGTCAACGTTTTATAAAGTGGTTCTCAAATAAAAGAGTTGCAAGCCGGTTTCAAAATTATATAGGTTTTTGTCTATGGAAAATATTAAGAAGATACTTCTGTTCTTTTGAATTGTACAAATGATATATAGATAAAAGGAGAAAAGTCAAAATTGAACAATTTCGCAAACACTTTTTCTTTTAAGGGAGAACTAGAGGTTGAGCTAACTCCGCAAGGTACACTCGCAGAAAGAATCAGGTGAAAAACTTAGCAAAACAGCAAAATAATACCAAAGCTTTAGATTTTTTATTTATGAAAGGTACACTTTTTTAAATATTCTAATTAGATTTATCTTCATTAAATTATAAAAACAAATTTTTGAAATCTGACAATTTAGTAAATTACGTGCTGATACTTAAAAATCCGGATCAGAATTTGGGAAGCGGAAACAGTACGGATCCGGATCCTTATCACTCAAAAAGACCAGGGAAGAGTAAATTTATTATTTGCAGAGCTGGAGGGGCCGGGATTCCAGCTTTCTTTACTCCTACTGCATTTGGAACTCTGGTACATGAAGGGGGATCTCCCATTAAGTATAACACAGATGGGACCATAGCTATACATTCTGAGGGATATATTATCTTACTTTTGCACCAGAAAACAGTTCGACTTAGTTCAATTGTTTCTATTCAAAGCTTTTTGAAAAGTTTCTAAAATTAATGGAAAAAAGGATAATTTATCAACAGAAAAGAGAGGAGCGGGTTTTCAATGGTAGAAGCTATATAATGGAGGAGGGGATTACTGGTGACTTTGCGCTTATCAAGGCCTGGAAAGCGGACAAGGCTGGAAACCTTATCTTTAACAAGACCGCTATGAACTTCAATCTACCAATGTGCAAAGCAGCAAAGGAATACAAAATATGCTTTAATATAAAATAAATATAAAGCAGATTGCCAAAAGTTTGTTTAAATATTCAAAAAAAATCTTATAAAAATATTTTGATTTTCACAGATGACCATTGTTGAGGTTGAAGAAATTGTAGAAATTGGAGAAATTCCCCCAGATCAGGTTAGCACAATTTTAGAAAAATACTTAACGTTTGAACAAATAACCATATATTTTTTTCAGGTTCATATTCCATCCATTTATGTTCAAAGAGTGATTAAAGGAGAAAGCTATCAGAAGAGGATTGAAAGAGTGACCCTTTCTGAGACAAAATCAGGTGAAATCTTCAAGAAAATGAGACTTAAAAAATAGCCAAAGGAAAAGACAATTCAATCCTGAAAACTAATAAATAAATTTTAAGAACTTTATTTCAAAAAAAAGCTTCATCTGTAAAAACTTTATTTTAAAAAATTTCATCTGCAATAACTTTTTAAAAAAAAAATTTCATCTGTAAGAACTTGACTGAAAAAACAGTTTCATCTGCAAGGACTTTATTTCAAAAAAAGTTTTATCAATAATAACTGACTTATAAAATGTTTCATCTGCAAGAACTTTATTTCAAAAAAAATGTTTCATCTGGAAAAACTTTATTTCAAAAAAGTTTTAGCTGTAAGAACTTTATTTTAAAAAAATTGAAGTATGAATAGTAAAATTGTCTAGATAAACCCTTGAGCCCTGCTGCCAAGTTGAGGGAGAAAATAGTTCGACGAGCAGCTTGTGAGTTCCAGGATGGGATGTATGCAAACCTGGGAATTGGAATGCCAATGTTGGCCTCAAACTTTATACCAGGTTAACAAAATAGAGTAGAAAATTTTAAAATTAGTGAAAACCTCCCCCCCCCCCTCCTAAAACTACTTTAAAAGTGCTACACCATAGGTCCCAAAGATCTATACCCAGGGGTGTATATTTTTTAGAATTACACTCCCCCGTAAAAGTTTTCGCGTAACTTTAAAAAAAATATTTCTGAAGATACAATTTTGAACATTGGACTAAAATAGATATTTCTAGACGACATGACAGTCCATCTTCAGTCTGAAAATGGTATACTTGGTCTAGGACCATTCCCAACCAAAGATCAGGTAAAAAATATTTATATTTATCCCCTTCAGTAAATATGATAATCTTCCAAACTTTGAAGGAAAGAAGAAATCTGTAAGCTTTAAATACTTTCACCAAAAGCAAATTTTCTTTACATATGATATTTGGGAATAAAATGGCATCACCAAAAACACTAGATCTGAGAGTGACATGCAAAGGTGGCAATGCTCGATTCCCAATGGTACCCTTAAATGCGTTGTCTGATCAAGTATGAATTATTTTACAATGTTTATCGAGTTTGGTGAATTGATTATTTTCAATCGTAGATTCTCTAAAAAAGTTACTTGCGCATTTCAACTCTAAAAAAAAGTATAGGAATTATCAGAGTTTACCGCTTGAATACCTAGGAAAACGACAATATCTTCCACATTTTTGATCAAATAAATGTATTAAGGGTACCGTTGTGAATCACTTGAAATTACGCTGATAGTCCCTTGAAGTGTTAAAATAAATTTTACTTATTTCCCAGGTTGATCCAGATCTTATCAATGCCGGAAAACAAACTGTAACTACAATACCAGGTCAGCCATTCTACAATCTGAAATTAAACAATGTTGCACAATTTATTTTAAAAATCTCTGTCAAGACAATGATTCAAACATTATACATCATATGAGATACAATAAGGTAATTATTTTATAGGAGCTTCCTATTTCTCTAGCGATGAAAGTTTTGCTATGATCAGAGGAGGACACGTCCATTTAACTATTCTTGGAGCTATGCAGGTTTGGTTTAGAAGATATGAGAAAAAAATCCACCCTCTCATAGTTTTTTTCCAGAAAAAACCTCGATTATTTATAAAATATATACATTCCAGGTGTCCCAGAATGGAGATCTTGCCAACTGGATGATCCCTGGGAAAATGGTGAAAGGAATGGGTGGAGCCATGGATCTAGTTGCAGCAGCAGGAACTAAGGTTTAACTTAATACCTTGATACATTCATTGTTCAAAATTAAATTATAATCAACTAATCTTATTTTCTTTTAGGTTGTGGTCACAATGGAACACACTGCAAAGGTATTTCCAATCTTTAAGTTAAAAAATCTTTCAGGAGCATATTTCTTTAATTATTTTTGAACATTTCAGGAGAATAAATTAGAACTGATCCCTTAAATAGTTAACTTTCCCTTCACTTTCAAAACTTTTATTTCTAAATTGAGCTTTTTCCGCCTTATAAGCCATTTGCCCCAAAAAATGAAATCATTCGAAAAAACCCAAACATATCAGAGGAAAATATACAATTAAAATAATGTGTTAAAATGAGATTTTTTTCAGGGAGGCAAACACAAGATCCTGGAGAACTGCTCCCTTCCCCTTACAGGGAAGCAGTGTGTTGACATGATTATCACGGAGCTAGGGGTCTTTACTATTGATAAAGATGGAATCACTCTCATTGAAATTGATCAGGTTTTAAATCTTTTTAATAAAACATTTTCAGTTTAACTTCAAAATAAGGATTAAACTAATAATAATAATAATAATAATAATAATAATAATAATAATAATAATAATAATAATAATAATAATAATAATAATAATAATAAACCCTTTAAAATTCAACTTGAATTTGAATTAATAATTCTGCAAGTAACAATTTGTTATTTTAAGGATACTGATCTTGAGACAGTTAGGATAGCTACAGGATGTACCTTCAAGGTTGCTGACGACCTAAAACCTATGAGACAAAGATAAACTGCTTAAATTTGTTGCAGATTAGAAAACAATAGCAAGAATTCATAATAAAAGTTTACTCAAAATTCTGTTTTTCATTGACCATTGATTATTATTCTACAACTGTATTTAAATGATTAAGAACATACATTTAGTAAAACTGTAAACTTTGGAGAATTTGTGTGACCTTCAGATTTGCATGTCCGCCTTAGTTGCCACCACGTTTATCTTCTATTTTAACGAATTCTTGTAGTGTTACTCAATAAATATTTTCTTAGTTATAAAATAATTTTTATTCGGAACTGTTCATGATAAAGAAATTGAAGCTCCTATTCTAGAAAAATGATAATGATGAATTCAAATATTTAACGACCGATTCTTGAATCTATCATGTAAACCCTCTGCATTTGATGATTAGGAAGAAGAGGATGGAGGTTGTAACTTTGATAACTGTTTCATCAGCTCTGTTGTAGTAACCTGTTAACAAATAAAATACTATGAATTTTAAAATTGGGAGTCCACATGGCTACATTGCAAACATTTCAAAATAAAAGGAAGCATTTGTTATTTTTACTGATTACAGTCAATGTGCCCCGTTCTGCAGCCTATATTACATTTCTAGTTTGGTAATAATTAAGTAAATATAAACCATAGAATTTTATAACAAAGTGTACGAGAAGCCTGGAAAACGTGAATATCAACACATTTGTATGTTAATCTGAATATTAACACACTAAACCTTATTAGAATATCATTTTCTGTGATATGCTAACAAACTTTTAAACGATGCACCTTCATAGAGACTCCTTCTGGTAGATTTCTCTGCACATACTCTAAATAAGTGTCCGCAGTGCTTCCCGTTAGATGCTGAAAAAGACTAAATTTAAAATCTAACATAACAATGAAGAAAGCTAGAAAAAAATAAAAAAAAATACTTCAATTCGTCGATTGAATTTTTTCACAACATGATATAAAAAAAGTTACCTTTAATGTAATAAAATGATAATATGTTCTCATTTCGTACTGAACTCTATGCTTCTTGTGCACATGTGCACTTTTCAACAGCGTTTTACGAGCCTAACATTAATACTTGGTTATCATCATTTCTAGATAATATTGGACAGCTGCATATATTGTAAACTATATATACTTAACCTTTAAGAGACTGTCATCTTATACAGTGGAGTGGTATGTCAGATTCACAACGGTGCTTATTGAACATGTCGTGTCTTTAAAAAAAAGTGAATTGCGAATTTTAACAAAATACTTTATGAAAGAAAATCTACAATAGCTTTATCATTTTTGTTTAGATGAAGGTTGAAAATCTGGCATTCCACTTTATAAACAGATTACGGTTATAGTACCTTTAACCCTAATATTTCTCTGTAAACCACTAATTGAGTTAAATATTTGCTTGTCTCTTGGTTAATTTTATTCGTCTGTAACCAATAAGCGTCAAAATGTTTTGAAGCTAAAAAATGTTAAATCAAATAAAATCTTATCAGTTAATTATTTTTTTTTTTGGTGGGGGGGGTCCATGCATGGAAAAACGTCAGATCATACAGTGATAACCAGAAAGCTGTAGAATACTGAAGTGCAATTGATGATTACTAGTAAGATTATAAATCACTTATTAAGTGAAATGGGTCTGGTTACATTGCACAAGTTCTGTGTCTCATGTTCGTTGGACTATTTAAAGTCTTAAATCTGTAGTCTAAAAGTAGTATTCCTTTTCCGAGTTTTCTGGTTCTCACTTATTGTTACAACTTTTGAAGCTCAGTTTTTAATCTGATTTAAATGATAACCGATTAGTATTCCTTGTCTGGCTCTTCTGGTGCAAATGATTTCTCTACAGTAATATCAAGCTCTGAAGCCGAGGTGTTCATAAACCAAGAATAGCTCTTCAGAACAGCGGGCTCATGGGCTCTAAACAGTTCAAGGGTGTATATATTCAAACATTAACAAATCGGTTATTTCCTATAGTATAAGAATTTTTGACCCACCCCAACCCCTCCTTATGTGCACAGTATTTTAGGGTATATTTGGAGCCATGAGCCCCGGCCCCCTAGCCTGTCCTAGCTGCAGTGCTCGGCCCAGAAATTGTATCCTCTTTAAAATTTATTTCTGGAGAGACTTGGTTGTAAACCATGTACAATGTTCATGGCTCAGTTCACAATCCAAAGGGTGTCCCTAAAAAAACTATGAGAGTATGGTGGCTCCCCATGGCTAGATAATTATATTTTTGGGCCTCTTTTTGTAGCTTACGCAACATTTCTGAACCAAAGACGGACAAAGACATTGTTTAGAGGTTGCTAACTTCGCCACTTCATACTGTTACAATTTCCTCATTTTTCGTGCCACGGACCTCTAATGGATTGATCGGAAATGTTAAGAAGATTTAAAAAAGTCAAAAATATAAAATTCGTACCATGAGGAGAGCTTTAGTACTTTACATACTGTTTATTTTGGACNTCAGTAGTACATACCTTAGTTCGATATCTATACACTTGAATAGTTTATCGGGATTTTTCATTTCCATTTTTACCGCCGAAGCTGTCGAACAGTGGCGGGCATTTAAGGAACAAGATCGAGACAGAAGTAGTCGAAACATTTTCTGAAATACATTTTATTACACTTTTTTTATCAAATTAGTAAAAATTTGGATAAGTTAGTTAAAATCAATAAAATTTTCGTGTCCTTAACTTCATGGAGAGTGGAACACGTTTGATACTTTGAAAGACTTTAAGCCAGGGGGAAAGTTATTATTGAACTTTTCTCCATAGAGGGAAATTTCTTTTAATGTTCGTTTGCCGCGGTTGATTAATATTTACTTGGTATACGTCAAAAAATGGTGCTAGATCATCCTAAGTAAGATCAGACCAAAAAAAATCACTCAAATCGAACAAATATTT